ACTTCCATTCCAATTTCCTCAGCGGTCATTTTGCTCCCCGAGATGATAGGGCGATGGCTACTATCGTGAGGTTGATGTTGGGTTAACGGCTTATTGTATTCGACAGAGGACTGGGCCTGGTCCGGGTAGTAGGTCTGCCTGGTACGAGAGACCCTAAGGTCAGCAGAGGCCTGGGGGACCACCCCTGTTGACCTTCCCGACCATTCAGGGGAGGAGTCTCGTTGGAAGTCCGCCTCAGGTCTATCGGGGGACACCGCTTCGTGTGGAGGCTTGTAGTACTGCGAAGACGAGGAAGACGACGACGCTGCTGCTGCTGCTGCCTGAGAGCACACAGGTGGGGAGAACCGTAGCACTTCCCTATTCACTTCGTTGTATTCCCTGGCCTCCCCTTGATAGACCTGACAGACCGCCCTTGCCACGTCGTTGACGGGGTGTTGGGAGATCTCACCACTAGGGAAGAGGTGGAAGAGTACAACTGGTAGTTTGCTTATCTGAAGGAGGACCCGTAAAGGACGACTGAGGCCTATGCCGTACCAAAGCGTCTGCCTGTATTCCAGTGCAGTAGCCTGTCCGCAGTAGGATGTCCCTATACACGGCATCAGGCACTTCATCATGGTCAATGTAGTGGCATCGTGACTGTACTAGGACCACCATCAGGCGCTTCTCGAGAGCTAAGTCCACCTGTTGTCCATTCCGCCGAGCGGTGTAGAAACCACGCTGCTGATCTGAAGACATCTCCTGAAGAAATTGAAACGTGGGTGGTGAGCATATCTGATCGTAGGTTCGATCCCCGGTGACGTCATTTCTCCTGCATTTTTTACACGGCTTCACTGACTTAGCTCTTGAAGGGGCGAGCTGGGGCCCGTATTACGGACAAGTGAAATGCACACTGGGGGAGATGACCCTTCAATGGCAGGGGTCTGTATCTTCGCCGAAATATGCCTCTACGATATACCTCAGGGCTGCTTCTAACGATATGGAATATTCTGACAGCTGCTCTCGAGAGGTTCCTTTAGAGCGGCTAGAGCTGAGTGCTTCTAGGTTACTCGTTGTTCAATAATGGAGTTCGTGGCCATCTCGAGTAAAGGTGTTGAGATCTACTCTACTGCCAGTAGTGACCCGTCTAAGCCCAAATACGAACTCCCGACAGGCGCTAGGAGCCCTGATGGCTTCACTTACAGTAAGGCTAAGATGGATTTATCGCGTGGGGATAACATATCAGGTCCGGACGGCTTAATGTGCGGTGTTCTCACCCAAAAAGGTGACGTTGACGTCTACGACTGTACCAAGGGGTACACCAAGGTAGTAGTGGTAGTAGTAGTAGTAGTAGCCGTTATGTAGCTGTATTAGATCCTAACCTGCCGACAACAGGAGAGTTTCATTCGTAACTTCTACTTCTCTCCTAAAGGGACCTTCCTAGTAACCTACGAAAGGTACTCCACTGAGACTCAGAAGGAGAATGTCCATGTAAGCTCGGACGAGGGGTAGGAGTAGGTCTTTAGATCTTCCCCTCAGCTATGGCATCTCGAGACGGGGGAGATCATATGTAGTCTCATATTGAAACAGTCCAATCAACGTAATATTGGGTATAGTGGAAAAAAGGGGAACTCCCACGTACTGCTCGGAACGGAGAGCTCCTTCAGTGGTATCATAACAGAGTGTATGGACTCCCTACATGCTTCCTCTCCTTGTTGGTGTATTTTCTGAGGATTTTTCCACTGTGGTGAATTTCAGACTAAACTTGAGTTTTCCGAACTGAGCATCACTCACCCCCAGGAAGTGGCGTTGATAGGTATGTGGCCTTGCTTCAAGTGGACTAAGGACGAACGTGTATGCGTTCGTATGGTGACCAACGAGCTCCATTTCCTGTCTGGTCGGAGGCCCCAACTCACCAAAGAGGCCACCCTGTAAGGCTACTGTAAGGAGTAGGGAGGAAGATAATAAGACGGTTGCAGGTTCAAACTACGACTACCAAATGTTGCCTCATTCGAGCTCTCTCCAGACTGCAAGACAGTAGCCTGCTTTGTTGGCGAGAATAAGGGCCAGCCCGGTATGGTGAAAGTAACACCAACAAAGGCCTCCTCTTCCTCCTCCCTATTCGGTCTCTATAGGTCTACAGTATTACGTCTGCTGATACTAAGCTGCTAGGTCAGAAATCCTTCTTTAATTGTCAGACTTGCAATATGGAGTGGAACAGGGAAGGTGAGAGTGATGATGGCATGCTGGGAGTGTATCGCTTCAACAGGTTCGTCTCTGCTCATGACGGTCCATCAGGAGTCCGGCAGAGGACTTAGTCAGAACTATTATGGAAGCACTGGGTTCGTAGTATCATCACGTGAATGGATATGCTCATGGGGTTGGTCACGATAGGTTGTATTTCCTTCACCCCTCCCCTATGGGTCAAGCTGGTCAGAACGATCTCAGTCTCTGCACCAACAACGAACCAGTAAGAGCAGCACGCACTGTGAAGGATATCCAAAGATACTCAGGCACAAGCCTCGGCGTGGTCTCCCAATACTAACGAGTTCATTGCTCTAGTTGGGGACATGCCCCCACGCTTTCACTCAATGAGGGTGTCAGAGGTAGTGTGTCTGTTCTCGGGCGTGCGCGTTCGACCACGGCGGCGGCGTGTTAGGTGTGTCGAAGGTTACCTTTGGTCGTAGTCGGCGTAATACTCTGCTGTGGTCGCCTAACGGGCGGTACTTCCTCTCGGGCGGCTTTGGCAATCTCCCTGGCGAGGCTGATGTGTGGGATAAGGAGAAGTACGTAGTTGCTCAGTCCCAAGGCATGATGCTACCTGGGGCCCTTCGAGGAGGACTGCATGGGACGGAAATTCGCCTGACTAAATACACGGAGAATGGTTATTATTGTGATTGTCTCTGTTGTTGGTATGTGGTTTTTTGACATTGCTGATCACTGAATTTTGAAGAGATCCTATATTCAGCAGGAGATGATGATGTGGAGTTTTTGCCCACCTTTTCTCAGGCATATCAAGCTGGCCACGATGAGCCTTCCCTGCACGGTTTTATCGGATTGGGGAGCAGATGGACGTACTCTTCTAACGGCATCAATTGCTCCTAGAATGCGGTAGTAGGGCGTATTTAAGGTTGCACTTTGAAAGATACGGAATAGGCCCGGATGAGTCACATCGTGGCTGTTGTTTTTTGCTGTAGTTGTTAGTATTTGTTGGTGTTAGGGTTGATAACCACATCAAGCTTCACAACTATGATGGAAAGCAAACGTTGGAAATTCCCTTTGATGAGCTCTACTATGCTGGCTGGAGGCCCATGGACTCGTAGGATGGGGAGGAATCTTCGCTGTGCGTAGGGTGGGGTATCTTTGAAGGTCTCTGTTCGAGGATCTAGCGCCCTCACCACGTGTTGTGAAGGCGGCCACGACGGCAGCAAAGAAGGCCGCTAAGGAACCTGGTGAGATTGGGAATCTTGAGGTTGAGCGTGCATGATACGGAACAGCTCCAAATGTTGCCGATTTGTGGTAGTGATATTATTCGTTGTCAGTTGCCAAGGCTAAGGCGGCTTATAAGCCTCCAAGTGGGGGAGCATTCGCTGCAGCTCTGAGGGCTGAGCGTCACGCGATCGAGAAGACTGATGTTAAGGTAAGTGCCTCTCAAGAAATGTGCTTGTTGACTACCTTTGTTATCAGGTAGAGTATCGTCCTCCAGCGAGAGCCGTTGGAGCCCCGGCTAATCTGCAAGAGTTGATGAACAATCTGCCGCAGAGGTTGCCTCCTGGAATGACAGTACCGTTGCCACAGATGAATGGTAGTGGGGACGGTCGCGATGGGTTGAATTCCCAGAACTTCATTTTTTTCAGCTAAGGGAGGCTCTAACTCGTCCACGGCTGCTCGTAACGCCCGTAAGCGTGCTAATCGTGCTGCTGCTAAGGCGGCTGCGGCGGCGAAGGAAAGGAAAGAGAAGGAGCACGTGAGAAGGAAGAAGAGGAGGAGAAGAA